AACAGAATGTATTGTCAGTACTCGTATCGACACAAAAACGGACAGAATCTCTACTCACTCACTTCCCAGGTATTCTTTTTAAGAATTCAGTTGAAGTTTACCATGTTTCCCGACAAGGATAAGCTTTGCATTTGCAATTGCATGATGATGCTGATAATAAGAAGGTACAGTTGTCACTGGGTTTTATCAATTAAGCTCCATGCCATGAAAACATGGGCGACTGGAGGTATAGGACCCACATTCTTAACCTTGGCACTAGATGGAGGTGATTGGTCAGCTTCAGGCCTCAGCCACTTTAACCCCAGAGAAACGGCCATTGTATAGGACACTGGATAGGCCCAGAGCCAGTCTGGATGTTGTGGAGAAGAGAAAAATACCTTGCCCTTGACTGGGAATTGAACCGACTCTTCAGTCATCCAGCACATAGCCCAGTCCAATACTGACAGGGATATTGGGTCCTATAATGATGAAGATGGTGATGATTATAATAATGATAATTTGATGGTAACTATTGCAGTCTTATAGCAGTTAAAGTACTGATGGTGTCTGGAACTTTGTGTAGTCCAAATAAAATATCACTGAAACTACTACAGTCATTCTACCACAGGCAACTGCAATCACTGTGACATCTGCATTTGAGACCATGCATATCACTGTTTCAAAGATTACAAATGAATTCATATATATATATATAAAACATGAATAATGTTTTTAGCCCATGTCTTTTCTCAGGCTGACTAATGCTGGCTTCTCAGTGCAGAGTCTTGATTAGAACCTACATGACTTCAGGTGAGATCAATGGTAGACAAAGTGGCACTGGAGCAGGTTTCACATTGAGATGCTACTCATCATTCCACCATTGCTTCATAGATGTCCACCACTGCCTTCTGAGGTGTGGTAACAGTTACCAGGCAGCACATTGTGACATCTGCACTCCCTAAGTTTGATGCTTCATTCCTTATCTGACACTTGAATGGTCACACAGTATGTCAGTTACGTTTAAATAAAGCCTTGAGACATCAGTTAGCATCTGATAATGTAAGATGATCATGGACAGTAAACACAGAAGGTATGATGAGAAATTTTCAGGTCCCATCCCAACATTTCTCTGGAACAACCAAGAAAGACCATGTAGAACCTCAGTTAGTGGCTAGTTTGTGATTCAGAATGGATACATCTTGAATACAGTGGTTCCGTCTGAAACAAGTTCAGGCCGATACATCCACATGAAATCAACGTTGCTGCTTAAAAGAAAGTTGCAAAGTATAAAGTTATTTGTTCTTCAGAAGTATAAAAGGTAAAGCTGTCCTTATACTTAACTAATTAAGCACTACACCATGAAAGGTTATATCACAGAGAAATACACTAACTGCTCATGAAACTTAACATTCCTGGTTTGTGAGAACAAGGCTATGTGGGAAACTGTGGCTTAGAAGAACCCTAACTAATCCAAGTTGAACGTTGACCTAAATTACATGTTCCTCTATAAGACAAAATGACAGTCTGTAATACTAGTTTGGAAGCTAGAAAATATATTGTATACCACGCCATCGGCACGTGGTTTGGAAACACCGATTTTAGTTCTATGTACACATATTGGAAACTACAGATTTAAAATACTGTGGCTAGAAAAACTGTATAATTGTTCTACGTTGTGCCGCTTTTTAATTTTACCCACGTTATAGCAGAACTTTTTATACAACTGACCCTCCTTTGTAGTAGCGCTGTGGCTGCTTCACGTTTTTATGATTCTCACCTTGAACTGCTGCTACCTCCCAATCTCTTCTTGGTTGTCACATCGGCCACCTTTCGCTCCTCGTAGAACAGATATGTATGTGGAAAGGTTGGGAGTGATTGTTGGGCACCAGTAAGCTTACATGCGTACCTTACGATCAGGATGATATCCGGTCAGGTGAGTTATCTGGCTCAGCCAATCTATTCAGGTATTAGTAGAGGTGAGCTCTAGTCTTAGGGCATAACGGACCTCACTTTGACAGGACATGAAGAAACTTATGCAACCAACTTTTAACGAACATCATCTCATATTCACAGCAGGTTTTATTGAGTGTTTACTTCGAGTTATAATGAACAAGTTAGTGACTTCACTTGCTTAATGGACCACTTCTTAACACTATATTTAATCTTGTATCACACTGATTTTCCAGTAGCTTACTTTTTACTAAGTGAACTTGTATAAAACCCAACAATTTGTGACTGTGATGGCGTGACAAAAATATCCTTACGATAAAGCCTAACATATCCTTATCTCAAACAACTACACTGACCCATTAACACAAAATAAAAGGACGTAACACAATTGTCCACCATGCCTAGCGAATTTTCTGTGTGTATCGTAAGTCCTATTGTAAGTCTCATTAGTGGACTCATATGACGGTGCCTAAAATCCCCTAAACTTCCCTTAAAATTCGATTTCCAGTCAGAATTCTATCTCTAAGCACTTACATTTATGAACATTTTCATCTATCCTAACAAAATCAGCTTCGTACATTTACAAAATGTTCTATACTAGCACCTAAACAAACATAGCTGACTCTTTATAAGATCTCATGGCTAAATACAGCGACACACAAATCAAAAGCGGCTCTGGCGTCCGCTCTCTAATTATACAAATATATTAACTCCCAAAAACACATAATAACTAATTATAACTGATTATCCTGCCAACCGAGTCTATCTTATATCGTCACTGGATGGCTAGGAGCTATCCACATTTTTCTTCAATTTTCTTAACCATCTCCGGTGTGTAAGTTGGTAATTCGAGCGGAATTACAATATCCGACCGCTTACCGCAGACTCTTGTGCCACAAAGATTGCGACACAAAAATTCTGATTATATCTCACCGCTACCACCAGATTATTGCGCCGCACCCCTTGCGACCAGTTTATTACTACGAATGCAGGGGCTGCAGGGGTAAGGCACCCAAATTTCTTATCATTATCCCAACTCTGTCACCAGTTTTGTCTTGGCGCACAATTGCGACACCCAATTTTTTATTATATCCCACGCGGCTACCATAGAAATTTAGAATATCCCATCTGTTTGCCACCAGTTAAACATCTGTGGATAGCGCCTACTCCGCCCAATGATGTAACTATTACGAATGCCCCAATAAACACTCAATATGTGAAAACAAGTACATATATACAACCATAAAAATTACACATCACTCTATTGCACGCATGGCCATTTCCTCCTAAAATCCGTTAGACAAATCGTTTTAAATCGTTTTAAATCTACATGGTACAAACCAAATTTCCTGTTCCAACAACCAAACAGTAAATCAACTTATGTCTCCAAAAAATTACATGTCAATCAAATTCTGTATCTTATGATCGATTTATAAGTCAATCCTTATACTATATTCTAACAAACATTTAATAGATCAAGTATTACATCCTAACAGTCAACAAATGGATCAAATTTCATGCTCTGCAATCAAAGTTCATATCCTAGCAATTAATCATCTAACCAACTTTTATATTTCGACAAGCAATCAGCAAACCAAATGTTACATCCTAACATTTACTTACTGAACCGAATGTTCATATCATAACAATTAGTACATAAACTGAAATTTATATATTCCAATAATTGATCAATGGATCAAATTTTAACTTAGCAATTCATTACCCAAATTTCATCCTAACAAACCATTAATACCAAAATTCATATCCTAATCCTTATTGAACCAGAAATTACATATTAACAAATTATCACTGGACCGAAAATAGGCAAGTACTCGCGCTTACAGAAGCGGGTGAAATGAAGGCGTGTGATCCCATCGCATCTCTTCCTACCATAGTGAACTTTCGGGTTCCATAAGAGACGGGAGTCCCTCAACTGCCTGGGTGACTATTCGATCCTCAAGAAGGTATTTTTTATTTGTAGTGGGTTGGGACTAAGTTCCTTGTACTGCGGCCACTTCTGGTCTATCGTACCAGCCCCAGATGATAGGTGAGGGTGATTGTGGAGCAATTGGTGTAATGAAGATTGGCAGGGGAAACCGAAGTACTCGGAGAAAACCTGCCCCAGCGCCACTTTGTCCACCACAAATTCCACTTGACCAGACCCTGGTTCGAACCCGGGCCGCCGCGGTGGGAAGCCAGCGACCCAGCGAGGGCTGGGGGCAGAGGGGGAGCACTAAAAATAGTTGGTAAAGTAGCATACCTTCTTACCGATTGTGCTCTCGGCCCAGGAGTTCATTTTAAATTTAGTTCCGTGTAAAATGGACATAGATGGCAGCAGCATTGCACCGAGGTGTCATGGCCGCCATGTTGCCAACCAATAACATGGAAGTTTCATGGCGCTGCCAGCGACTGACCGCTTTTGCTATGGCGCGGCCCCTTAAGAAGGCAAGTTTTCCACGGAGTTTGTTTAGTTAGTGTGACATCAAAACTTAGACGACCTTACAGTAGTCCATATTGAACATTTGAATTACAAATTTCGCACGAGAGCATTTGAGAATTTAAATAAATTACAATTTTAAATTCTCTCACATGCCCTCTGGAAAAATTTCCCATAAAAATATAATGGAGTCATTCGTATTCATAAGTTACTAATGACGCTGTGAAATAACCGTATTCATGAAGAGTTCTATCTTCTGGAAAATAACAGAGTTTCAGAGAAAAATGTCTCCTCCATTCTCAGGGTTGAGGATGCCAAGGGAGAAGCTAGCTAAAGATAGAACTGTTCCTAATCACCACTATAAGAAACGCAAATCCTACAACTCTACCACAGTACAGCGTAGTATCCATAATGTCTATTCACCAAGCAATAAACATGAATCTAGAACCATTCTGTGATATACGTGACTACGGCGTTGATGCGACCTTAGCGTTAGTAGACTGTGATTGGATATGCTGCCAAAATAGTCAGTTTTCTGAAACGGTTGAGTTGATAATCTTTCCAGTTTGCATTTAGTCCCCTACTGCGCATATTAGCTCATCTCTGACCTCTCTGACGTCTCTGACTTCGCATTTGTTAAGGAGTGTGTTATATTGTGTGACGTCATACGTATGATGGTGTGGGGCGAGTGTTGAATATTTGTTTTACCTGGGATACATAAACAGTTGTGGGTATACTTTATTTTGGAACGATGGTTCACCATTATTCGGTGTTAATGTGCATAGGAGTAGACTGAAAAGTGAGGTAATTTCATTGACAGCAAGTTCAACTTTGAACATAGGTTTCTGAACCCACGGTGATGTACCAAGTTCTGAAAATGTAGTATGATCCGGACGATCATTTTTCGTAGGAAGTACATACTTAGAAGCCACATTTATTGTTACATAAATTTAGTTTTAAGTGTTAACAAATTTCATTCAAGTTTCAGAAGGAGCATCGTTCCATACGTTAAGGATGGCATGTTTGCTGGCTGGTCGCTATATAGCTCTCTGTTGTGGCCGTCGGTCTTCAGGTGTCTATGTAACCACACGGTGTTGGCAGCAGAGCTATGCAGCCTGCGCACCGACACAGGGAGAATCATTCAATGGACCCAAATCTTCAGTAGTGCCAATATTTCGACATGCGCCGCAGTTCAGTGATCGTATTGCTTTGCGGGACCGTCATGGCGATTACACATATCGTGGAATATTCCTCAGCAGTCGTCAGTTTGCTGGAGAAATATCCAATTACTTGGCTGGTAGAAAGCAAGAGAGAGTTGCATTCCTCTGCCCTAATGATGCATCATACATCATTGTTCAGTGGGCATGTTGGATGAGTGGTCAGATAGGTAAGGTGTATTACAGTCGCACTAATGATTGAAATATGTTGTTAATGTATTCATAGCGTAAAATGTCCATTGGCATGTGTGGTTAATGTATTGAGAGCATGCCATGGTCAGCATTTTGCATAATTAACACAGCAAAACTTGCAGTACTGATACAGTGGAACTTGGTCATGTTAGCCACTTGTGGTTCCACCCGAACTGAGCCAGCGTACAGAAAATTGTGTTAACATTTTTCATTTGGATCATGACTACTTATTTGACTGTTGTCATGTGTTACTTTTTCCATTATGCTAAACATTTTGAAGCACCTTAATGTGATTCTGACCTCATGATTAGTGGTATACCATACCCATAATGTAAAATCAAAGTAGCTGAAGTGAATGTGAAAGAAATGTTTCTGCTTGTGAACTGTAATGATGAGCCAGAAGTTAGAAATATATTAGTCTTCTGCTAAAATTTAATAACAGAATTCAGCATTTAGCAGATCAGCTGAACACAAAGGAATGGCAGTAAGGGTGTTTAGCAGATACATCCAAGATACAGGTGGGTGAGTGGATTTTCATTTGTACAGACTGGCATGAAAAATAATTTTTATGTAGCCAACAAGTAAGATTAAAATATGTATGAACTATAGCATAAAATGCAAGAAGGTGGACAAGATGCAAGACAGACAGGCGATGTACTGTCACCCATCTGTATTTTCTCAATCAGTGCATATTCCATGGTGGAATGGACTGTGATAAAGTATAGTTTGTGTGGTGGTAAAGCATTGATTATCTAATAGTTTACAAATTCTACAAATACAGAATATGCAAGTGGCCAGGATGAAGTGCTGATCATGTGGAAATTAATATGATTTTGCTGGGTTTTTTATTTTAATTGCTAGTGGGGTGGGACTAAGTCCCTTGTACTGCAGCCACTTCTGGCCTACTGTACCAGCCCCAGATGATAGGTGATGGTGATTGTGGAGCAATTGGTGGAATGAAGATTGACAGGGGAAAGCGAAGTACTCAGAGAAGACTTGCCCCAGCATCACTTTATCCACCACAAATCCCACATGATCAAACCTGGGTTGCTGGTTCTTAAAGAAATGTGACTAACTGTGGCATGTGTCTTAGGGCCAAGGAAACTTGTACCTGCAACTTCTGAGAATTGTTATCAGGCTGAGTTGAACACATTGAACTGCTCTGAGAAGCACACATTGAGGAAATGACAATGCAATTGCAATACAACTCACAGAAAGAAGAAGCTCAACTCCTAGTCTAGACAAGTCCAAACTGGATCATAGAACAGACAGATAAGAGTAATCAACTTCCAAGCGATGAAATGAGAAATATGAAGGAAGTCCTCAGAGGAATAGTAAAGGATGGGATAATGAAAACGCCCACTCTTGTAAATTGTGAGGAACCAGACAAAAAAGTGAAAGATAATTCTGATGATTTGACACAAACTGATAGCTCAGAAAATTTAGTAAATATGGGTAACTCTTCAACTAAAGAATTAAGAATATCTAAGAAGACAAAGTGACCCCCACTAACAATGAATAATGATTTTTTATGTTAAATGGAAGACGAAACCAAGATTTTTATTCAGAATCAAGAGTCACCAGTAGTAGCAACAAGCCAAATAATTTAAAAGGATAAATTGTAAATAAAATTTCCGACTTAAAAATTTATCATCAAAATATAAGAGGATTAGGTAATAAAACAGATAAAAATGATGTGATCCATATAGCGGGTCTCCTCCATCCTCGCCACCAAGACCCGCTATATGGATCACATCATTAGGGAGGCAATTGAGGTTGAACTGCATCCAGGAAATATGAACAGAGAGGGGGGGTTTTGTCTCAGCAAGTATTAGAAACCTCTCTTTTGTTCTCTTAGAAAACCCCCACCGGGATATGACGCCAGATCCAGAAGGCCACACAGGCCATGACCAACCAACATAACAACCCCCCCCCCCCCTCAGCGTACGGGTTGTGCCCAGCCTTTAACCTTGCCTTTCTCTCCCCTACACAAAAACCACGCTTGTCCCAGCTCCCTTCCCCTACCCCTCCCACACTACTGCTTTCACTTGTATACTTGCCTTTCCCCCTTCTCCCTCTCTGCTCTCACGTAGCTGTGTATATTTCCACACAGTCTGCTTTTACTGGTTCTCACGGTCTCTCCGCTTGCAGATTTCTTATATTTTTTCTTCTACCCTGAAGATGGAGGCGATACGTTCCTCCGAAATGTCGGTTAACACCACATGTACACGGTGCCAAATCCCAGAAGACTGCTTTCTTCATAGTCACCGCCGTGAAAGCCACAAATCTTACAAAAAAATTACTAGTTACATTAATAAGTATTTTATAACTCCACTACCACAAATAAAAAATAGTTCAACTACAGACAGGAATGAAGCCCTTAAATTCCTTACTGCTATGTTTAAACACTCCTTTTCAGATAAATATATGTCACCAGTAACTAATAAAGAAGTTAAAGACATAGTGAAATCATTAAAATGGAAATATTCACACGGATATGATGAAATTCCATAATATATCCTCAGAATAAGTTTACTATTCATATTAGCACCATTAACATATATGTGTAATAAAGTATTGATTCTTGGTGTCTCCCCTCAAGATTAAAATATTCTCAAATATATCCTATTTTTAAAAAAGGCGATAGAACTGATATAGCAAATTATAGGCCGATATCTTTATTGACATCTTTTTCTAAGATTTTTGAAAGAATCGTATATAATAGATTACATCATCATCTAGACACTAATAATATATTGGCACATGAACAACATGGTTTTCGAACTAAATTGTCCACTGAATCAGCCATTTATGACTTAATAAATACCATTCTAACAGCAGCAAATAATAAACTTGTTGTGGGAGGCCTCTTCTATGACTTGACCAAAGCATTTGATTGTGTAAATCACACAATTATTCTTGCTAAGTTAGAGTTCTATGGTTTTAATTGTATAGCAGGAAAGTTCATTAAAACTTATTTGAGGGATAGACAGCAAAGAACAGTACTAAATAGCAATATTGCAAGTGGAATTTCGGAGTGGCAAAGTGTAAAACAGGGCATCCCTCAGGGCTCCATTCTGGGGCCATTGCTCTTTTTGATATTTATTAACGATTTGTCAAACATAATAAATAAAGAATCAATACCAATTTTATTCGCTGATGACACCAGCATACTGTGCTGCAAGTCAGATCTTAAAGAATTTGACATCGCCCTAAAAGAAACTCTTGAATCAATCAATAAATGGTTCTCTATAAACTCGCTAATTTTGAATTTAACTAAAACGAGTTGTGTCTAGTTTTTAAGAACACCAAATGCACTAATAAACTTAAATATTAAACATGGTGATATCCAAATTAATAATACAAATACTTTGAAATTCCTTGGACTGACAGTTGTTAGTATTTTAACACTGAAGGAACATATCAAACAAACAGCCAGCAAATTGAGCTCAGCTTGTTGTGCTATAAGATTTCTAGTCTCACTATTGTCCCTAGAGAGCTTATTGATGATGTATAATGCCTGCGTTCGTTCTGTAATGTCATATGGATGATATTCTTGGGAAATTCAACGTATAATACCCAAATATTTAAAATTAAAAAAAGAATAATTAGGGTAATAATGAAAGCAGGAAATAGTGACACTTGTCAGCCTCTATTTAAAAACTTAAACATTCTTCCATTTTATTCACAGTATATATTTTCAATATCAGTCTTCATAGTTAAAAACATGGACAAGTATGTAGCAAATTCAGGTATTCATAACATTTAAACGAGACAAAGATTCGAACTACATAATCCAACTTATAAATCAACCAGGGCTCAAAAGGGAGTATCTTACACTGGGATTAGAATATTTAATAAATTACCACATAGTATAAAAAATTTATTGCAAGATTTAAATAAATTCAAATATTCCCTTAAAAATTTTTTGCAGGTGGGCTCTCTTTATTCTTTAGATGAGTAGTATGAATGGAAAACGGGATGATTGTGTTAATTACAGATAAATAAAACAACACTAGTCATTTTTTAAAACTTTTATTGTATGATACCTGTAATTCTTTAGATATGCTTTTACTCTATTATTGACAATGTTAATATGTATTTTATTATGATAATAAGTTGCAATGCAAGTATTATATGCATGTTGTATTTAATTATAACATTGTATCAATAGTTATTGCAACAATGGTTGTAAATATGTTATAATATCTTTATGATGTCATCTGGATTAATTTTATTGTAACTTGGGCTTTGACGTGTTCTGTATCTGGAGGTGCCATCGCCAAATGTAGATCTGTTGAATAAGAATAAATTGAAATTGAAATTGAAATAAGCAACTGAGCAAGCCACTCTTTTCACAGTTACATTGCAGTGTAGTTTCCTAGTTTCAGTTGTTTTAATGTGCTTCAGCGGTTCATTTGCTTCTTTAGAGGGTACAAAAGGTTAATAAAGCTGCTAATTTTGTTTTTGTGCAGCTAATTGGACAGGAACCTGGTATCTCTGATAAATGCCATGCAGACTATGCTAGGTGGACAAAATAGATTTGGATTGTGAGAAATTTTCTCATGAGTTGAAAGAGTCAGGATCATAGTTCTTTCGAAACAATATAAGGACCTAAGTTTAAATTGCCACACTAGAACAGATGCACCCATTGTTTTCTTTTCCTAATAATGTATTTAAGCATTAATATATTTCGTTATATATATATGCATTAATATATCATTTATTTGATTTATATTTCCATCTTAAATGCAATTTATTATCTGGTCACCCTTCTTCCACGCTACATGTTCTGACTGTATATGGCCATCATCAGGTGTCTTCTGTCATGCTAAAATTGTTGCGCTGTATGTCAAAATTTTGTATCGTGTGCAAACACAATATTTCCTAATTAAAATTAATTGTCCTTAATTAATAATGAATTATCATCCCAATGTTTTCCTTATGGTCGTCCTCTCTTCTCACGCTGTCTCAGTCACCACCATATTATGGCAGGATCAGTATTATTATCTGACATTGCAGAAGATAAGTGCACACAATTAAAAAATTTGCTGCTCTGGAACCAGTTGCCTGCTAGAAATCAGTGACATTTCTCAGAAGTTGCGGTAGCGTTACAGTTGCCAGTTTCTTTGGTGTGCCCTTGCCCTTACAGATGTAGCTAACTTTGTAGGTATCATTGTAATTTGCAGTAAGTTCCTTTCTATTTCCCTTGGTAGAAATCACATCTTTTGATGTAACTATTTGCATAGCAGCACTGGTTATGGTTATTATTAAATTCAAGTTGCATTATGAAAAGTTAAACAGTTCCATCTAGTGTGACCAGACTAGATGGAACTGTTTAACAGTGTGATGGACCAGAATGAAACAAATCAAATTTTAAGTTGCATATTATATTGCAAGAAGCAGAATTTGTTGCATTTCTACAAATTTGTGTTTCATTGACAGCAGCACTTTTGCAGGTGTTGGATGTTCATAGGATGCAGCAGCAGATACTCAGAGGTATTAGTATGTTGGCTTTTGATACAGATCGACAAATATCTGCCTGAATATTCTCCTCTTCCCAAGTTATAGGCCATTGCTCTGTTTCTGACTACAAGAGAATATGTCTCTCTGCGTATCGAATAATGAAAACAAGATAATTCACTTTCTCATGAATGTCTGTAGAAGTGGCTTCTCACTGCGAAGCATTGGACTCATTCCATTGACTTCATTTAGGAATCCTGTTGGATGAAATGGCATTTTAGTAAGTTTTTCTCTTAAATTTCTTCAATTTTGTGTTGCTATTCATCGTTTAAACATTGCCTCCTGGCCCGTTCGATAAGACCTGACCAGGCAGCACATTATCACTTCTTCAGTACGTTTTCCACTAGTCACAGATATTTCTGGGATAACCATTCCACTATTTTTAAGCTGGCCCTGGAAACTTGTACTATTAACGTACTCTAACATTCATAATTTATTTAAGAATGCTGTGCCAGTGGCTATCTTGCATTCTTTGAGGACTGCATAATTGTATCACCTTGCTGGTTGAGGTTATCAAGGGTCTAAATGTCTCTTACAACTCTTTTTCCGAATTTCAGACATTTTGAGTGAAATGACCAGCTGGCAGGGACTGCACTGCAGCTAAGAGGTCTGTCCAAAAAGTATCAAACTATATTTTTTCCAATGGTAAGTAGTGGCAAAAGGGTGGAGAAACTGAGCAGAGTAGTAGAATGGACTTTCATATGCATGTGTGATTTTTTTTGCTGCCTTGCAACACCGCCGGATGCGTCTGTCACTGCCAGATAGTGAAGTGATGTAACACATGTTCGTCACGTTCTTGTTTTGCTTAAGATGACAGAATGCTTGGAGCAGTGATACTGCATCAGATTTTATCATAAACTTGGGGATAACCAAGTGGAAAAAGTCAGAAAAATTCAGCAGGCTTTCGGGGATGATGCACTGGGGGTCACTCATATTAAACAGTGGTTCAGTGGCTTTAAAGATGGTCGTACGTCGGCTGACAGTGACCAGTGTTCTGGGAGACATTCAGCAAGCAGAAATGCTGATGTCATTAACAAAGTGTAGACATTCATCATGTAGGACCGTCATTTGACTGTCCAGGAAGTTGCTGATACAGTTGGGATCAGCAAAGGTTCCGCAAACATGATCTTAACTGAGGATATGGGCATGCAAAATTTGTGCCCAAACTGCTTTCGCCGTAGCAGCAACAACTCCGCCTTGAGGTCATGCAGGACGTGCTGGAGTGTGCCAGCAGGGATTCTGAGTTCCTGAAGACTGTAATCACTGGTGACGAGTTATGTGTGTAGATATGATCCAGAAACCAAGGTCCAGTCGTCACAATGGAAGCATGCAACATCTCCAAGGCCCAAAGAAGCACAACAGGTTCGGAGCAATGTGGAGGTGATATTGACTGTTTTTTTTTTTTT